ATGTCTCCGTATACGGCTCTTCCCAAGAGGATGGTGCTGAACGCTCCACCGCCATCTTGTTCACGTGAGCCAGAGAACACCTTTCCAAACACATGTGGTTTCAAGGGGTTGACTTTCGGACACATGGTGGAAAAATCAATGGCCTGCGCTCTGGGGTGGTCAAAGATGTGCAAGGCCCCGGTCTTGCCTGGAAGTTCGACAAGGTGTGACTCCTTCAACAGTTAACGAGTGGACAGCTGATCGCCGGCAACTTGTGCAGTGTTTTCGTGGTTCAATTCCATCCAGGTTTTGGCGAGGCGCTCCTCTTGAGTGCCTGTGGTCATTTCGGGACAGTTAGCAGTGCCGTGCAGCCGTGAACTTAATTTTGCTGCCTGTAATCTGTGCTATTTGGTGTTCCCAGTCTTTTCTAATTGTGCACTTGTGGACTGAAGTGCGTCAATTGCAGGAGTCTGTGTTACTGCCATCGCCTCTGGTTGACGTAGCTGCAAAAACAGGATGGTCTCCTTCTGTACGGTGCACCCTATTCGGGACATCCTTGACGAGTAGTAGACACGGGTGGCAGCCGTTTTACCGGCAGTATTGAGAAGGCTTCGACTTCTGGGCTAGCCTCAAGCAGGCGAGTTGGCCAGGGAAAATGCACGGCACTGCATTTTATGAGTCACTTTTTTTTTGGTACGTGCGGAAGAATGCATCCTTTATACTTAATATTCCCTTTCTAGCAGACATCATGCGAGCTTGAAAATGTTCCTCACAAATTCAGTTAGAGCTTTAAGTTCTTGTTTTATTGTTTGCACTGCTCAATTTCATGCCGCTAGTTGCTCGGGATGAGCTGGCGCGTTAATATCACAGCTTTTTCTTCCTTGGGGCCGCAACCTGACTGACAGATTGGAACACAACAGTAGGAACCCATACCTCAGGAATAGCGGCCATCTTAAGGCGCCAAAACGCTGCTAAAAATGTCAACTTAGTCTGCTACAACGAATTTCGTCTGCTACAAGCGTGTTCGGGAGCAAAACCCAGAAAAAGAAAAGCAAAGTGCTCCACATATGGTTCGCAGACTACTTCACATTTTCTGACGCTCACGCGGTTTTAAGGTTTGTAATGTTGAAAGGTGCGTTAGAGTTAAGGTAAATATAGATAGATAATCGTTGGGGTGTTTTTATTTTGCGAGGATTGAGTGAATGCCACTGTAGACAAAAGGATATCTCTGAGACGGTGCGTTGACTTTCAGAGTATTATACAAACCCAAGGCCATTTTTTTTTTCATACCGCCATGCCATTTATCGTAAGGCTAATGCACCTTGTAGCATACAGCACGATTGGGACAAGGACAGAAAGAGGAAAAAACACAAGACAAGCGCTGAACTAGCAACTGATTCTAAGTAAAAGGAAGAAATGCACATAATGCTGCTGCTGCACTGCAGGCATGCTCCTCCGTGGCCCTGGCGCTTCTTTCACTCAACATGAAACCGCGCGAGTTATCCAAGATCCAAAAAGCTGATCTCACTGCTCCTCGAAGTCACTGTGGGATTGCTCACACACAAGGATCTGTTTTGTGTTATGTAGTGCGTCTCCATCATTTCTCCGGGTAGCTTGTCCTTGTGTCCGAACATAGAAGACTCTTCACGTAAGGTTAAATTTGCAAGGAAAAAGCTGTGGAATTTTGCCTCCCAATTCAGAGAATGCAACTCTCACTATAAGATCCGTTTTGATAAATGGTATGTTAACGACTCGACCTATGTTTATGACCACGCAAATGGATCGGTGGTTTTTGTTCGTGGTCCCAAAGAAAACACGATGCCACAAGAATGACATAATAAAAGAGAGCTTTTCTATCGCCCAGCCACTGTCGCCAACTTTTCATTTCTTATCGCAAATTCTCTCAGCATCTTATAAAAGCAGGATGAAGCTGAGAGTATTACGTCTTCCAGCGAACCTGATATAATTCTTGGCACCGAAACTTGGCTTACGTCTGATATGAGCAACTCTGAACTTTTTCTGAGTAAACGGTATGTTATTTATAGCAACGACCGTAAAACCGGAAGAGGTAATGGTGTTTTCATTGCCGCAAAAAAAAAAATATATATATATATATATTTCTTGCTCAGAAATACAAATAAGTTCTAACCTTACCATTTTATATATTCAGGTGCCGTTGGATTTTCGTTCAGTGCTCATAGGTGTTTGGTATCGCCCTCTCCATACTGACCAAACTGATTTCAACGACTCGCTGCATAACTGCCTTGGTGATTTAATGGTAAATTTTTCTAAACACTACATGGTTCTTGGTGGTGATTTTAATTACCCTTGTATAGATTGGGCAACATTTAAACTTATTTCAAATAGTAATAACCCTAGCCAATGCCGCGGTTTATTATATCTAGTTGAAACGTACGCGCTCCATCAGATTATCACGTCGGCGCCTCGCGACCGAGCCGTCTAAGATCTGCTCATTATCTCGAGCCCAGAATGTGTAACATCATTCGCCATTATGGAAAGCATTATCGATCATTCTATTATACATGTCGAAACGTCATTTTTGCTGACGACGCTCGAAAAAAACTGATATTCGCCATTCATGCACGGATATCGTAAGTTTATTGTCAGCCATGGACGAATTTGAGCGTGAATTTGCTGCCTCATACACGGAGCATTCTACTAGTGAAAACTAGCGTATCATAAAAAAGCACTCGGTGAAATTCTCTTCACTTTCGTCCCTCGATTCACGGTGGCAACCGAGAATTCGTCACCGTTGTTTACATATAGCTTAAGGCGCTAACTAAACAAGAAAAAATATTGTTCTCCAAGGCTAAACGATCGGGTAATTCTGTTGACTGGACATCTTACAAAACCTTCTCGAAACAATGTAAAATAAATGTAAAAAATGCTAAGAAATATTTTTTCTGTGATCCTTCCCAGCATGCTTTCATCTGATCCCTAGAAATTTTGGAAAATTCTTAACCCTAAATCGAACAGAAATCACACCACAATTACAAATCAACAGAACGAAAGAATAAGTGATGTTGATGCCGTTAATTTGCTAAACACATTTTTCTGTAGCATGTTTACCAAGGAAACACACCCATCACCCCAATACGATATTACAAATAGTTATTTACCTTTGGTGCCCATCTTGTTTAATCAGAACGGCATTCTTGAAGTAATAAAAAACCTACCCAGGAGCAGTGCGCCCGGTGATGATGAAATTCCTGCTAAATTTCTAAAAATATTCAAGCATGTAGCTTCAAATATTTTTAGCAAACTATTCCAACAATCTCTTAACTCCGCCTCAGTCCCACTTGACTGGCGCCACGCCAAAGTCATGCCGATCTTTAAATCAGGAGACCATTCCGAACCTACGAAACATCGCCCCAATTTTCTTATCAGCGTGCCATGCAAACTCATGGAACATGCCTTGTATACCCATATCATATCTCACCTAGACAAGTGTAACATCTTTTTTTTCTAATCAACATGGTTTTCGAAAAGGTCATTCGTGCACTAGTCAACTTCCCAATTTCAATCAGACGTCTGACGATGTGCCGAAGATATTCACGAAAAAAGGGCTAAGACTTCGCTTCACCTGTGATGCTCCCAAAAGAACCCAATTCAGTTCCTGGATTTCCTCGTCAAATTGGGGGACGATCATGTTTGCTGGTCTTATAGTCCCAGAGCAGCGAAGGCTTTTCTCAACTTTCAGTCGGCCCACTCCAAACTCGCCAAACAAGGCATCGCTTTTTCCTGTCTGAGGACTGCTTTAACATGCACATGCATCCACAAATTTAGTTACGGCTTCATACCCAAATAGAGCAGCTCATGGATTCGGGATATCCTAATTTTGGTCATCTCTTCGGTCTGCGAAAAATGACGAAACACCTTAAAACAGGTCCAAAGATTGATCAACGTGACCTCAAGCAGAAAGAGAAGAAAACAGTTTCATTAAAACCGTACATTCAAGGCCTTTCCCAGGGACTCAAAAAAGTCGCCTCGAGATACGATGTGAATGTGGGTTTCTCCGCCCGCCACAAGCTCAGCTCAGTGTGCTCTGCAGTAAACAAACGTGCGAGAAAAGACGATCCAACGTCTCACAGCGGGTGCAGCATCCAACACGGAATGCAGTTTGTCGCCTGCGTAGGAGGCGTGGTGTACAAGATTCCGTTTTCCTGCTGGCATGCGTATATAGGACAGACTGGGCATTGCCTTAACATAGGACTACGAGAATACAACAGTTCAATGAAAGGAATCGTTCACACACATCTCGCGATCCATTACCGGGATTGAGAATGGGAACCCCTTTTCACCAACATGACAGTGATGTTAAGACACGAGCACAACTACCCCGAAAAAGGATGGAGACGTACTACATAAGACAAAACGGATCCTTGTGTGCGAGCCAGCCCACAGCGACTTTGACGAGCAGTGAGATCGGCTTTTTGGATCTTGGATAACTCGGCCGGATTCGTGTTAAGTTAAAGAAGAAGCGCCAGGGCCACGGAGGGGCATGTCTGCACGAGCAGCAGCAGCATCATGTGCATTTATTTCTTTTCAATCGAATCAATTGCTAGTTCAGCGCTTGTCGTGTGTTTTCTCTTCTGTCCGTCCTTGTCCCAGTTGCGCTGTCAGTTATGATAAACTCTTACCAACTTGCCCCAATCGTACATTTTGCTAATGTGCCTGCCAAGCGGAAGCCATCAGGACGACAGAATCAGGTCGCACGGTACCGAGAGGTTTTAGTGGCCGTTTCCCCACATGACACTATTACATATTGACCTACACAAATTTTGCCCTTACCCAGGACGTACTGCATGGGCAGCCCGAATTGTGTATTCCCACATCGAGGCGACATGGGACCCACGGAGCAATATAGTGACTCCACCAGCCCACCTTGCCCAAGTGGGGCCCATATAGCCCCATTTAGTGTGCTACCTGGGCGGCCATTGATAATACTGGCATGAGAAAACAGGCAAGTATGTCTGTGAAAAGATGCAAGATAAAAAAACTTACCCGTTGAGCGAACTTAGAAATTCAGTGTATATTTGTTTGTTGGTCATCGTATACGGCAGGTACACGGAAAAAAAATTCGTCATCTCCTGATAGCCAGCGTCCACGAGACTCGAGTCAAGTGCCTGAAATGAAAGACCCATGGCACGTAAAGCTTTTACAGTTTCAAGAAACCAGCAGTTTCTGTACGAATGATGACCACAATCTTTACGAGTATAATTTAAATGTAAAGATTCGGCTGGATCCATTATACGTTACGTTGTGTTAAGACATTTGTTATCAAAGCATCCGGTCCATCTATGAGCTTGATTTATTGACTCGCGCGCAGCGAAGCCAAGTAGGCACGGCACGTCCTTTTGGAACATGCTGAAATTCCGGTTTTTGAGTCATGGCCTGCGATTGAAGTCGATTTAAAAAAAAAAAAAGATATCGTGAAAAGATGAACAGTTTGGCACCAGACGTTGTATAATTATAAAACGCCATGATGAGTATGCTGGGTCATGCATATGTAATAAGGTGTAATATTATGTCAGTACTGTTTGGGTTGCCTGGTCGTCTCTAATGCTTTTAAATAGTAAATGAATACAGTTTATAAAAACAAAAAGGAGTCAATTCGACAGGGCGCCCGTAGCCGCATGGTTATCGTCCTTGACTCCTACGCAGTGGGCCGCGGTTCGATGCCTAGGGGTCGCACAGATATTTCTGTTACACCTGTAAATGTCTCGTTCTGGTGAATTCGAGCATTCTGTTGCTTATTCGAGGTCCGAATGTTCTACCCGCCAACCTTCTACACCGATTGTTTTAGAAGTCGACGTGTGTACATAAGAAACTCCATGTGGCGAACTGGAGTCAGTCTCGCCTCAGCGCTCGATCCTGCTGTTTCGCCGACATCGCCGCACGCGACGCTAACCTTCATCTATTTTGCTTGGAACACCAGTTCGCCTTATTCATTACACGTTAATTTTTCTAGAGATTCACCACCTTATCTTTCGTAGTTCGTGTCAATTTTGGAGGAGGCGCGGCGTCGAACCCATGCAACCTACCCCTCCGAGGGCTCGCAGCGCTAGTTCGCACCCCAGGAAAAAGGACGTTTCGTGGAGGAAGCCGACGCACACGTGAGCCATCGTACGAGAAGCCAGTCACCCAAATTGGGTCTCTTGCCCGAGATCTGTTAAAAGATCCCGATGATGACCACCCCGTTCGTTGCCGTTTTGCCCGTCGCTCCGCGGACACCTACTACCTTTCTCGGCGAGATCTACGAGGACTTCGAAGACAGGATAAAAATGTACGTTCATGTGGCTCGCCACAATGGGCAGAGTGACAAGCAGCGCTTCCAGAGCCTCTATTCTTTTTTAGAGGAAACTTCAAGGCACATCTTGGAAAAACACGAAGCTTCCTTGGCTGGGGAACCTCATCAAGAACGAGCCGACGCGTATGCTCGCCATTCAACACCAACGAGAGAGGGCCGGATACCATCTGCAATCGAGAAGCCAGGGCCGCAATGAGAGCGTCACGAGCTTGGTGAAAGACGTCCTGCGCCTGAGTTCTCACACAGGCCCTTAGGCCATCGAGGAAAAGAAGTGGCGTAATCAGATGAGGGGTCGTGAAGGACGACATCTTCGGTGGACTTGTACGCAACCCAACGACAACCGTTCAAGGATTCTGCACCGACGAACGAACATGGAGCTTGCCATTCTTGAAAAGGCAAACTAATACCAGTGGCACCCAGGCCTTTATGCCCCATCGCCATCGGGATTGGACCACGGCTTCAGCCTGTTTGAGATTCGAAAGGTCATTCTCGACGTTGCACGAGAAGAGCTATAGACGCTGCTGGCCACTGGTGGACGCCCGGCCTCGCTCTCCATCGCCGAGGTGGTTAGGAAATAATTGCGGCGAGCCTCCGAACCAAAGGCTCCAGATAGCGTGGCAGCCACTGAGGAGCCAATGTTCTTGTTCGCTGCAATGGCCCGACGGCCGCCCACATTTCTCAACGTCAGTCTCCAGCCTAGCCGCATGCCCGACGCCATGACGACCGAGTCCCGTACGCCCACCAGGAGCCCCGTGCGCCCTATAAGACCGACGTGTGACGAAGGCCGACCGACGTCCTATCTGCTACCGCGGGGAAAGGCCGGCCACGTTTACTGATGGCGCAGCTTCATCCAGATGGGCCTGCGAGGGTTTGCGCCAAACGACCCTCGGCCCCGCCTTGGTGAGTGGCCGGGAGACATCGAGGAGTACATGCGCGAGTCGCCGTCCCCGATGCCGGTTCCACTACAAGGGTCTCGTACACCATCCCCGCGACCTTCACAGTTAACACCTCACTGGTCCCGCCGACAAAGACTGCCCCGCGCGCTACGTCGTGAAAACTAAACGTGGCGATCCCAAGATGTGGGGCCGACGTTCACCGACGAAGTAAGCATCCGCCCCAATCATTGGAGCCCTTTCACTCTAACGACAATACGCAACTAAAGACCGCTTCTGCGAAGGTACCGAACAACTTCAACATGGTTATCGACCAACACGACGCAACGGCACTCAACGAGACCGGAGCTGACTACTCGCATGTAAGTGGGAAGCTCTCTTGCCGCCTTTGGAAAGTTAAGGCACAGTGGGATGGCCAGCAGATACGAAGCGCTGGAGGGCACCTCATCACAGCCGTCGGAGAAGCCCCGCTCGCGTCGAGATTCATGGCGAAACCTGTCCGGTGAAGTTCGTCGTTCTTCAGTAGTGTGCGAGGGACGTTATCCTTGGAATTAACGTCTTGTGTGAGTAGAATGCTGTAAATTTTTTGATGGCGAACAGGTTGACGCTAGAGAAACCTGCCCCACCACCGAAAGGATCTAAACGACGTCATCCGCGGTCCGTGTTCTTGCCCACCATGTAAACCTGCCGCAGCGGTCAAGTGTTTTTGTACCTGTAGGGACCAATGAAGCTTCCTGCGACGAAGGTCTGCTTGAGGGCAGCGTCTAGTTCTTTCTAATAAGAGGTCTCAGAGTCGCAAGGGCTGTAACAGAGCTTCGAGACGTGCGTGCCACAATCCTCGTTATAAACTTCCGACGAGGGGCACAACACCTTATTAAAGGTACCGCTGTGGGCCACATCGAGGAACTTCAGGATGGGCCGCCATCTCCGCACTCTCGGAAGAATTTTCTTCATCGCAGCCGCAGAGAACACCATCCTCGGAACAAGACATCAATCCGAAGTTTCATGCTACAGAATGACGACGCCTGCTTGACCTGCTCTGTAAGTTCTCTGAGTGCATTGCCACTTCTTCAAATGTGCAACAAACGACTGTAGCGAATAACCGCATTGTTACCGACGACGACGCGATCCCAGTGCACCAGTCGCCGTACTGAGTCTCCTAAATGAAAGCGAGGTAATCAAAAAGACAGTACAAGAACGACCTAGTGACTACACCATCCAGCCTTCAAGCAGTCCATGGGCGTCGCCAGGCGTCCTGGTAAGGAAGAAGGATGGGCCTCTAAGGTGATTCATAGTATATCGTCAACTAAACTCCCTGACAGAAGAGGACGTCTACCCGCTGCCCCGAGTTGAAGACACCCTCCACCGGCTTAGCCATGCTCGAAATGTTTCTTCAATTGCCCTGAAGAGTGGTTTTTGGAAGATCTAAATAGACGAGCGAGACCATGATAAGACGACCCTTATCATGTCCGATGTGTTGTACGAGCTTAAAGTGATGCCTTTTAATCTCTGTACGGCATCCGCAACCTTTCAGCATCTCATGAACATTGCTAGCAAGTCTAATGGCAGAGCTGCCTTGTCTACTTAGACGAAGTCGTTGTGTTTTCACGACATTTAAACGAGCACCCGAGACGCCTTCCAACTGCACTACAAACGATTTAGACCGGTGGACGCACCCTCAAGCTGACGAATCCCTGTTTCGCCTTTGACAAACTAAAGTTTTCAGGCCACGTCCTGAACAACGAACGTATTCGCGCTGACCCCGAGAAGGCGCGCGCCGTAGCCGCATTTTCACCGCCGTCGGACAAGAAAGCCTTTACAAGATTCCTGGGTTTCTGTGTCTCCTTTAGGTCCTTAGTTCAAGATTCCGCCAAGCTTTCTGCGCCACTGACGCATTTCAGAAAGGGCGCTGTGAAAATCCAATCGCGTGAAAAACTACAAAAAAAAAATCTACGAGCTCAAGTGGAGACTCCAGACGCCACCGATCCTCGGCCATTTCTATCAGTTCGCAGAAACGTAAATCCACACCGACGCAAATAATACGGGACTTGGCGCGGTACTGGTTCAACGGCAGGAGGGTACAGAGCGAGGGATCGCTTACGCAAGTAGTGCGCTGTATAAGGAGGAGGGTAAATACTCAACGACAAAAACCAAACAAAAAAACAATGCCTTGCGGTCGCCTGTATGGTAGTCCATTCCGCGTGGTCCCCGATCACCACTCGCTGTGCTGGCTCGAAAACCTGAAGGAGCCATCTGACCGCCTCGTTCGTCGAAGTCTCCGACTGGAGGAATCCGACATGACAATTGCTCACAAATCCGGTCGCTAACACAGTGACACCGACTTTCTGTCAAAAGCCCGCGTCGAGTCGCCACCTGCCAGAACCGACGACAAGGAGGACGAAGGTTCTATCGGTGCAGTCGAAATAGCCAACGTGGCGCAACTTCAACGTCACGACTGTGAACTCCATGCTGTTATTGGGTACCTTAAAGGTCAAGAAAGTGCCGTCCCCCAAATTTTCTCTCAAGACTTGTCAAGGTTCGGCATTCAATGGGGTGTTATTTTCAAAACTAGTTTCGGGACCAGCCACCCAGCATGGCAAATGGTAATACCTACCAGTCTGCAGGAAAATTCTTCGAAGCCTTCCATGACAACTTGACGGCTGGGCACCTTTGATACAGAAGAACGCTCACCAGGATTTGGGAAAAGTACCACTGGCCGATGCTCCCAAGTACCAATCACCTCTACACTCAATCATGCCATGGATGACGAAAATAATCCCTGGAGAAGGGGAACAAGAGGAACAAAGAACAAACACAAATCTCCAAACACAGCTAGGTGACCCGTGAGCGACCGAAAAAATCCGCCGGGTCCGGGTATCGAACCCGGGACTTTTCCATTACAGGTGGAGCGCTCTACCAACTA